CCAATAGGCACACGAGCGAGCGTACAGCTGTCGTGCTGTGATTGTAAACAAGCATCAGAAAGTAAACGAGCATACTGTTTGCTTCTTTGCCCGATAAATTATTATACTTCCTCGCTGTCCGTTTGGTTTCCATTTTTAAGTATGTTGAACTTGCAGAGTGGACAGGTGGCATTGATGTGGAGCCACTTGTCGTTGCAGGCCGAGTGGAAGTGGTGGCGGCACGGGAGCTCACGCAGTTCGGCTCCATCATCATAGGCACAAAGGCAGATGCAACATTCCTGCAAAAGAAATAAAATTGTTAGTTCTTGGCTGGCAAAAAAGGATTATAATATTTTGGAAAATCGAAAAATCAACTTACAGCATCCTCGAGAGAAAGCACGTGTTCTGCAGGAGAGTCTGTGTCACATTCGGTCATTATTCCTCCAAACGACTCTTGAATTTCACCATTTTCCTTCTCAAAGTCCCCGATTTTGCGAAATCTGAATTTAGGTAGTCTCTCGATATCCTCCTTTGTAGCTCCTTCCTGCAACACAGTAGCATCAATGAATTAATAAAAACCGACGGGCATTCAATGAAAAAAAAAGCCGCACTCCAATTCAATAAACTCAAGTTCCACCGAGTATTGTAGTTCTTTTTTTTTTTCCTAAATAGAATAAAACTACCTGATCTGCCACGGCATATAAGATTGCAATGATACATGGTAAACAGCAGCAAACTGCAAGCCCAATGAGACACGCCACAACAACGCATATAACGACAAAGAACACATCAAATGCCAAAAATGTAATGCACAGCCTGCAGAGAACGATGATGACAGGTAAATCTGTAATTCAATATATATAAAAAAAAAAAGTAGTGAACAATTGTTCAAGTAGACTATACTATAGTCCGAAAATGGACAAACCAACCAGTAGAGTTGAGGCGATTCACTAGTCAAATTTGGGCCACCGGCAGATATCCAATAGAACCCTATTATCCACCAAATGAATGAGAACATCGTATTTGCAGACTCCAGATGTTTAGCAACACTGCCAATACATAAATATGATTGCTGTTAACTTTCTTTATGTATGAAAAGACCATTTCATAAATACAGAGATTAAGTAAAAAAATTATTAGAGACCCTCTCAGAGTAGCTTAACTAATTTACTTCCTCAACTGGAGCTAATAATAAGCATTCAGAATATAATACGGAATCATCATTCTCTTCAACAAATGAGAGTCACAGGTACAAGTCAAATCTTTAATCCAAGCAGTAGCACTTATGTTACGATCACCAGAAAAAAAATTATGTCGATCTCTCTATGGAATTGCAGATCATAGCCTATTCATCATTCACACATACAATCACCAATTTAACCAAACTTTATAACAGAACTTCTAGGCTCACGTTGGATTTCAGAACCCAAGAGTTTACGTCCTATAGAAAAATGTTTTAGATTATTCTATAGAAATTTCTCTGTTATGTATTAATCTATTTTATGGTTTCCATGTTCTTCACATTTGTTAAGAAGGATATTTCCTTTGCTAGAAATACAATGCAGACAGACTCAATTTCATTGGAGCTACTTAGTTAGATACTTTGAAGTATTACAGTACCTATGTATATCAACATCTTCATGTTTCAACTTCGATTAAGTTTCTCTCCTCTACAGCTGATATAAAATGTTGCTTTGTTACTGAATACAAACTTAAGTGCTATCACTTCTATCCTTGCACTTTTATCTATAGCACAAATATGCATACTCTCATTCACGAGACATACTTTAAAAAACAACATAAGTAAAAGTATGACACTTCTCAATATAAGTGCATTTTTTTTGTCAAAAAAAAATGACTGATTGACCCGCCGTTAGGCTGCCTCAGACAAGAATTTATGCATAGAAAAAATGAGTTAGGCATACTTATCTTTTCATACCTCAATCTCTACCAAGTTACCTTTTTCTTTTTTGGCTGCAAAGGATAAAAAATGTGGCTTTATCTACTAAATACGAACAAATGTTCGTATGCTATCCCCCTAATCACATTTCAATCCATTAGCAGAAAAATCAAGCATACACACGACACTACAAGATATACAAAATCAGAACTATACACAACACGGTCACAAGAAATAACAATGGCCCAAAAAAAAAAGAAAAAAAAAATTAAACATACCTAGCATCATCATCGTTTTGCCGGCGCTCGGCGCCATAACTCACAGTCTCCATCTCATCACTTCCTGTGCTCGAATTCGAGTTATTCCGGCTATACCTCAGCTGCCCCCTCTCACTACCTTCCAAATTCCGCAGCGAGTACCTCTTCCTATACTCCACGCACACGCACACCATGTGGAGAACGCACTGGAGCGCGTACCCGACGATCCACAGCCTCAGAGGCATCGGCGGCGCCTCGCGGCGGCTCGCGATCAGGACGGAGATCGAGACAACCACGAAGGCGAGGTTCCAGATGAGGTCGAGGACCACTATGGGCTTGGAGTAGGCCCAATCGCTCTGCCGCTCCTCGATTTGCTCCGCCGCGGCCTCGCGAACGCGGACGGAGGGCTCGCGCATCGCGCGGCCGCGGCTGCTGGCACGGCGGAGGAAGCGTACGGCGCCGCGGAGGCTGGGGGGACGACGGAGGAAGCGGCTGCGGGTGCGGAAGGAAGACTGGTCGGCGAGGAAAGGGGTGCCGTCGACGGCCGGCGGCGGGGACGCGGGGACGCTGCGAGACGACATCGTTTCGGGTTTGGGAGATAGATTTTTTTCTTTTTTCTGGCGATTTCTTTGTTTTTCTATTACAGAGTGATCGATTTGTTGGGGTTTGTTGTGTTGTGTTGTGTTGTGTTGGAAGTGTATTTGGTGTCTGTTTGAACTTTGATCCAACGGTGGGATTTGAGTGTTGGGATTTAGGATGAGAATAATTTGGGCTTATTTGCATTTGGATTATTGGATATATAATAAGAGCCCATTTTCTGTGAGTTTTTCAATGTGAAAAATAAGAGCCCATTTACTTATTTTTCAATGTGAAAAATAAGAGCCCATTTTCAATGTTGGGATTTGAGTGTTGTGTTGTGTTCTTTATCTACTTATCTACCCACCAACTTGAATTTTTCTTATGATTTTAAAAAATTAAAGATATTGAATTGAAATTTTAAAAAGTTCGAAAAATTAATTATTCAATTTAATTATTGCTGAAATATGTTTCAACTTTATAATACTTACTGAAATTTTAAAAATGAAATGCATATGCCAAGTCTTACATCAAGGCTATGATTACTAAAGACTTGAGTAAAATGTAAAAAAATGTTAAGAAGTATTAAATTTAAAAGGTTTTAAATTGACAATAAGATTCTCCATTGCAAAACTATTGTTGAAATTTTGAAGATTTGATTAAAAAAAAAAAAAATTAAATATATGATATGTAAAATCATAACCGATTGAGTAAAATACGATAAATAAAATAATTTGTTTAACATTATAATATGCAGTATTTTGCAATAGAAAATTATTTCATTCATTTATATCTATTCAATTCATATTCATTTTCTCACTTATTTTTTTCTTCGATAACAATAACTATACAAGACGTTACAAAAAAAAAAAAAAGGATAAATAATAATCGCTAGTACACATATAATTAGATGAATAAATATATGTATAAAAAATGATAAAATAATAATGGATGACTATAAATATATAATTAGATGAATAAATTTGAGTAAGGATTGATTTTTTATTTAAAAATTATATTAACATTTGTTAGTGGAGAAAATGGAATAAATTGGAATTAATGAATTGATGGAAATAATGAAAAAAAAAAATAAATAAATAAAAATTGCAATTCCACCCTTCAATGAATAACCAATTTGTAATTTGATAAAACTTGGCTCAGTCAAACACATAGATTTAAGTGTCAGTGGTTAAATTTGAATCCATTTGGCCACAGGGACACCTATAAACTGAACATCTAAAAATTCTACCTGCAAAGGCATATATATACATATACAAGAGACGCTTTCGTCTCTTCACCTGGGGCAAAATGTACAGGAAAATCATCTCATCAACTCTTTCGTTGTTGATTTACTTTTTCTAGCAAGAAACGGGCCGCTTCAGATTGTCGCATAATAGCTAATGGAAGCGTAATTCACTGCTTGCAATGGTCTGGAATTAGTCGTTTTAGAAGCTCGGAAGGTGCACCAGCCAGTTCTGGAAGAATTAAAAAGCAGCAAAAATTGAATTTTACGAGTCAAGTCAAATGACATCACTGTGGAAAAAAGAGATTATGTGGTCAAATTTAGCTTACCTTCGGCAGTAAAATTGAAAAGGGGCGGTAATGGTCGCCCATTAGGCAAGCACGCGTTCGATTCTCTCAAGTCGTCAAAGAAGGGGTGCGCACAAGCCTCCAACTGAAAAAAAAAAAAATATGAAATCAAATTCAATAATAAGTTTAACTATATTATAACAATAACGACGTCTGTTTGAGAAAAATGATCGAGTGTAACTCAGAAAAAAACGAATTACTCCGAGTGAAAATGAGCAGTAAAGGAGAGTGACTTACTGCAGTAAATCTTAGTGTAGGCGAATACTGGAGTAGCCTTGAGACTAAATCCACTGCTTCGGGTGGTATTCTCTTATGAAATACCTGAAAAAACAGCGCCATTTTAAATCTCCCGCGTTCGTTTTTCTCTTCTTTTTTTTTTCTTTTCCTTTAGTAATATTTTGACGGTATGAGAAAATTAAGAAACCTTGTGCCAAGGGTGGGCTTTAATCTGAGGGAACTTGAATTCACTGTAATTTGGATTCATGCACTTGATTTCCTCTCTTGTCGGTGTACCCAAAACCTAATAACACGAAAATAAATGCAGAACTGATTTAGAAATGCACATAAAAACAATTACATCACATTATTTTTCTCTTTAAAGAAAAAAAAAAAAACAGTATATTGCACCTTAATTATTTCGACTAGCTGATCAACACTGCTTTCCCCAGGAAATAGAGGCTGCATGTGTTCGGATAATGCATCAGAGCTCTTGATTAAAAGAGAAAACGAAAAAAATAGAATAAAATAAAGAGATTCATGCAAAACATGCATAAACAAGGTCAAAGAACGAGTTTATTCATTCATTCATAATGTTGTTTTGTCAAAGGTAAATTATTTAAAAAAATAAATAAATAAAGTTGAAATATTGACGAACGAGAAGCAGCAAAAGCAATTACATGCCCAAGAAGTAACTCGGCCATAACACAACCAGCCGACCACATATCAATTGCAGTTGTGTACTCTGTGGCCCCAAATATTAGTTCGGGAGCCCTGTAATAACGAGAGCAAATGTACGAGATATTTGGTTCACCAGGTACCTGCCACATAACCAGAAAAATCTCAATTTGTGCTCGTGGGGCATAAAATCCTGAATTAATAAGGAAAAATAGTGAACAACAACGAAACTACACACCAGCATCTTTGCACTTCCCAAATCACAAAGCTTAAGCTGATGTGTGTGAGGATTAACCTATCAATTGATAAAAAAAAAGAGGATCAAATGAATTATTGTAATGTCCACCAAATGACAGCAAACCATTAAGATTCTTAAAATTAATAATTTGGTAACAATAATTTGTACCAAAAGATTCTGGGGTTTAATGTCCCGATGGCATACACCAATGACTCTATGCATATAACTCAAAGCACGGCATATCTGCATTTTGTAGAAAGAAAAAAAAAAGTATATAATAAAATCGCTAGAAAACCCGAAAGTGTTAGAACAAGATAAGTAAAATATAAACTAAGTACCTGATAAGTATAAAGCTGCACATATATAATAGGCATGTACTGGTTTGCTCGACTGTAATGCCTAGACGTACGGTAAACAGTTTCGGATACATACTCGAGCACAAGGTTAAGGTAAACCTCGTTCGATTCAGTAGTTGAATAGAAATAATGCTTGAGCTGAATAACATTAGGATGGTTGAGCAAGCGCATTATCTGAAGTTCCCTGTTTTTATACCTTCTATCCTGTAGCACTTTCTTTATAGCAACCGATTCACCTGTTTCGAGGCACTTAGCCTGCAAATTCGAGCATTCATTCATATCTTGCTATAACAGTTTTTAAAAAAAGTAAAAAATAAAATAAAATAAAATAAAATAAAACAAAATATGAAAGAGAGATAAGTTCGACTAGAAAATAACCTGGTATACAACTCCGAAAGAACCTGTCCCAACAACACGTTCTGCCATATAAGACATTGTCTAGTGGGAAAAAAAAGAGTAAATTAGATTAGGATTTCTTGATTTTTTTGTAAGAGAGCTCATAACAGAATAACACAAACAGATAAGAAAAAAACCCATCAAGAATAAACCAAAAGTTTAAAAAACATTCAGCCAATGAAAATCACTTTTTTACCTGCTTCGGCTGTCCATTTCGGCCGCCAATTGAAGTTACGATTATCTGACCGGTTTCAGTCCCATTGCCGGTAACAACAGTTGGTTCCATATCCTGGANAAAAAAAAAAAAAAAGAACCACAAATTTCAGTACAACATTTTAACCAAATAATCTCTCCGCTAAGCACATTAAATGTGATCAACTGATTTATAAAATCCACACCATGACCTTTGTGTTATCTTTATAGTTTTCTGGTTTATCCTCTCGAATTTTCATCTCATTCATTTCCTTGGGCAGCTCGTGTACGTCAGAAGTACTTGCATCAGCTGCCATTGAGTTAGATTCCATATCTACATCATGGGTTCTCACATTATTTTCTCCGATTTCCACTTCATACACAAAATTCTGGTCAATTTCTTGCTCGACTTTCACTCGTTTAATGCAAGCATCCCCGCCCTGGAAACATAAACCATAAGCTACATATAAGAACTCAAACTTTTGCAATAGTCATACTATAGACAAGCATATTTCCCGAAAACGAAATGTGGCCATAAGAAATTCAATAAAACTATATACTATAAACTCGAATGAGAAAGCTTGTCATTGCCAACTAATTTTAAAATAGGCTTGAAGAACAGATAAATAAAACATCCAAAACCCGAACAGTCACAGAAAATTCGAGGGAGTGAAAGTGAAAATCTAGTAGAATGTAAAAGAAATTACATAAATTAGTCTTCCGATCGAATATCCTTCACCTTCACAAACCAAAATCCTCTCAAAAACTAATAAAACTGAACTTTTAAGAAAAAAGAATAAAGATGAAGACCAGTGAATCTATAGGTTGAAAGACTTCAAAAATTTCAGCTCTACATAGTGGATGAAGATAAGCAAAGCCTATCCAAAGAAAAAAATCAGAACTTTTGCTCTATTCAACAATTCTATCTTAACCTTAATCTTAACCTCCCATTCTTGTCCCTTCTTACCAACCTCTTCTTACCCACATTCGAAAACTAACCTTAAATCAACATCCATTAAGAAAACTCAACAACAGAACACAAAAACAAAGCACACAATATATCTGAAAGAAAAATTACAGGATCTGAAACGGAGGAGCGGCCCGAAGCAATGCTCTTCAGCCGGCGCATCATATTCATCGTACTCCCACAAAAATCCAGACAGCGACCGAAAATCAAAAACCCAAATGGAGATTAAAAAAAAAAGATCTTTTTTTTTTTAATTGTGTGTGATATAATATAAAAAGACTCTCCTTTTCTTCCTCCTTCACCCTCCTCTGCAGCTCAGTCGTCAACCCAAAAGGAAAAAAACACAGCCCACAGCCAGAAATCAAGTAGAGAGCAATCGATTAACTCGTCCAACAATGAGCAAATACAGGCAAAAAGATGTAGAAAACCAAAATAAAATACTAATTAATAAAGGGGGGCTGGCTAGGGCCAAGCAAGAAATCTTTTTCCCCTTCTCTCTCTACTCACCCTCGTTTGAAACAGAAAACAAGAGAGATAAATCTGAGTGGAAATGTGTAACAATACGCAATTATTATTATTGTCTAAAAATATGAAGAACAAGAAAAAAAACCCAGAAAATAAGTTCAAAGAAAAAGAGGAGAAAGTATAATTTTTTTTTTTTTTTTTTCGGTAGCCACCACGGTATTCAGAGCTATATCCCGAGTCACAGTATCTAGACCTATGTCCTGACTAATTCGTTAGTTGACCTAAATGCACACTTGGTAGTGGTGGGTGAGTCTCACCGATTAATCGGTTGGTCGACCTAAGTCGCACACTTGACAGTAGTGAGCGAGTCTCCAACAAGTTTCTTCCATTCACAAGAACTCGAACTCGAGACCTTGCTTAAGGTCCATCAAGCTGCTTACCACTTAAGTCAACCACGGTTGGTAAGAAAGTTGGTCCAAGTGAAAATTTTTTAATTCATAAGAAAATAAATAATGCAAAAAGATTATCTTTTCAAAAGATATACTATCATTTTTATAATATTTCTGACTAAATTTAAAATACATTTCGAACTAACTACAATTTCGTCTAAAAAAAACAAATGCTCCTTTTTATTTTATTTTATTTTAATTAATTAGTTTAGTATTTTTTTTTTTTTT